AAAAAGAGAGATGGGGGGGGGGGAATCCCTTTAGAAAAAATCACCCTGAGCACCAATAACTGGGTTGATTGGGGGGGGCGCAGAGGGAGGTACCCGCGTAAGGAGGTGGGGGTGTGCGATGGGGTTTGGGGGTCTCTTTGCCTGCAAGGTGTGGAAGAATAGATGGTCAACCGTCCCCCGCCCCTTGCAGATTGGAACCTCCCAAATGGGTCAGATATCCTAATGGATTTCTCAAAGCTGGATGAGAGGTTCCCCCAGTCCAAGCCCCTCTCCTTGGGCTGGGGGCGGGGTACAGGCTGTCCACACGGACCCAGGGGCAGAGTTCTAGGCGCCGGGAGGCCCTTAGACAGATGGCATTTTCCTACGAAGGTCAAGAAGTCGGTCTGACAACGCGAGTCGTTTTTCAGTTTGGGAAAGGGGAACTCTCTCTCTCTCTCTCTGTGCACCAGGCTACTGGTTTGCCAACCTCCAGGTGGTGTCTGGAGCCAACGTTCCCTCTAAGCTGAGTCTTGTGAGCAAAAATTCTACTTTCTGAGCTGCTGGCATGAAAGTCGAGAGCAAACGATTTGGCTGCTGCATAAATCAGTTTGCTCTGGGGCCATTCTTCCTGAGCGAAGACAAGAATCCATGAGCTGGAGGCTAAAAACCTGTGAGCTAGCTCACACTAACTCAGCTTAGAGGGAACACTGCGGGAGACCTCCTGGCTTTACAACTGCTCTCCAGAAGCAGAGACCCACCCCCCTGGGGAAAACAGCTACTTTGGAGGCTGGGTTCTATGGCATTAATACCCTCCAGAGGTCCCTCCCGGCCCCCAAATCTCCAGGGATTTCCCGGGCTCGGAGCTGGCAACCAGTGTTCCGTCTAAGCCGAGTCAGTGTGAGCCATCTCGCCGTTTTCCTTAGCCTCCGGCTCACACATTTTTTGTCTCCGCTCGGGAAGGGAGGTGGCTCCAGAGCAAACTGATTTATGCCGCATTCAAATCGTGCGCGCTCACCACTTTAGTGCCAGGAGCTCACCGAGGAGAATTCTTGCTCACGAGACGCCACAGCTTAGAGGGAGCATTGCTGGCAACCCTTCCTGGGGAGGGAGCTGTCTCCAAAAGGGTGGGGGATTTGGGGATACGGTTGCCAGCCTCCAGGTGGGGCCTGGAGACCTCCTGCTTTTACAGCTGACAGAGATCAGCTGCTCTGGAGAACACGGCTGCTTCGGAGGGTGGATTCCATGGCATTGGACCCTGCTGAAACCCCTCCCCTCCCCAAACCCCTCCCACTCCTGGCTCCACCCCCAAAGTCTCCAGGTATCAGGCTCCTAGCTAACACGGGGCCCGCCCCCCCCAGCATGTCTTACAGGCCCCCTTCCTCTCGGGCTGGTCCCCCAAATTGAATCAATGTAATTAGCTTTGATTTCATTGGCTGTGCCACCCCGGGGGCCCCTCCCCCCCAAAACCCTAGCTACAGGGCTGCCAGGCAGTGTTCCCTCTAAGCTGAGTCAGTGTGAGCCAGCTTACAGTTTTTCTAGCCTCCGGCTCCTGCGTCTTTGGCTCAGCTCAGGAAGGACGGCTCCAGAGCAAACGGATTGATGCAGCAGCCAAATGGCCCGGCGGCTCACACAAAGTAGAATTTCTGCTCACAGGACCCCACGGCTTAGAGAGAGCACTGCTGCTGTGGTATTTTCCAACCGTATTTGGGAAGGGTTGCCAAGCGACACACCCCTAATGTAGCCAATCTTCCAAGAGCTTACAGTAGCCCCTGTCAGAAGAGCTCTGTAAGCTCTTGGAGGATTGGCTACATTAGGGGCTGTGGCCTAATAGGCAAAGGAGTTCCTGCTACAAAAAGAGCCCTGGTTGCCAGCCTCCAGGTGGGGCCTGGAGATCTCCCACTTTTACAAACTGATCCCCAGCGGACAAAGATCCCCTCCCCTGGAGAAAATGGCTGCTTTGGAGGGTGGGCTCTATGGCATGCCATGGCACCATGCGGAGGCCCCTCCCCTCCCCTGGATCCACCCCAAAGTCTCCAGGTCTTTTCCAACCCAGACCTGCCAACCCTATTTGGGAAGGGGGGGCCTGGAAGCCAAGCTGGAAGCCCTAAAGGAAGGGTGCCCACCTCCCACTCCTCAAGTCACGGGGGGGGGGGGGCTGTGAAGCCCGCCAGGCCTGATTTCAGAGGTCCCCGGGGCTGGCCCGCCGCGCGTCGCAGTCCTGCTCATAGCGGTAGTGGTAGCCCTCCATCTGGTCCCGGCAGGCGTCCCGCAGGTTGTTGAGCCAGCGCTTGATGCCCTTGCGGTTGAGGTAGAGGACCGTGAGGAAGACCACGCCGATGAGGGCCAGGACGATGCCGAAGAAGACGTAGGAGGCCGTCTCGGGGGGGCCCGGCGCGCCGTCGCCCGGCAGGCCCAGGTCGTCGTCGTCGTCGGCGCAGCCCAGCTGCGAGGCGCGGAGGCGCCAGAGCGGCCAGCCCTTGAGGGGCCGCGGCGAGGCGCAGTGCAGGAGGCCCCGGTCGGCGGCCGAGCCGTTGCGCAGCCAGGCCAGCAAGGGGCGCAGCGAGGCGCAGTCGCAGCGCAGCGGGTTGGCGGCCAGGTGGAGGCGCGGGCGGCCCAGGGCGGCCAGGCCGTCGAGCTGCTCGGCCGCCAGCGCCTGCAGCGAGTTGTTGCGCACGTCCAGGTGGCGCAGGGCCGGCGGGAGGGCCACGGCGGGGGGCAGCTCCCGCAGGCGGTTGCCGGCCAGCTCCAGGCGCGCCAGGCTGAGGTTGGCCAGGGCGCCGTCCAGCAGCTCCCCGAGCCCCCGCGCGTCCCGCGCCTCCACGGCCTGGTTCAGTCGCAGCGTGCGTAATTGCGCGCAGCCGGCGAAGGCGCCCGGCGCCACGGAGCGCAAGCGGTTGTGGCTCAGGTCCAGGGTGGCCAGGGCCGGCAGGCCGGCGAAGGCCGCCTCCTCCAGGGCCTCGATGGCGTCGTGGGTCAGCACCAGCAGCGTCAGGTCGGCCAGCGGCCGCGCCGCCCCGCCGCCTTCCCCCACCTCCCGCCAGCCGCCGGCGAAGGCGGCGGCGCGCAGCACCGTCAAGTTGCCGCCCACGATGGAGAGGTTGCGGACGGCGGCGGGCAGCTCGGCGGGCGGCTCGAGCAGGCGGACCAGGCGGCACTGCAGGGTGTCCGGCGTGGCGAAGCAGAAGCAGGGCGTCGAGCAGCTCCGGCCCGCCTGCAGCAGCGGCAGCAGCGGCAGCAGCAGCCCCGCCAGGACGGCGCGCAGCGGCGGGCCTCCGTGGCAGCCAGCGGGCCGCTGGGCCATGCTAGTCCCGCTGGGGCATCGCCGCGCCCGGGGAGGAAGGGACGGCACCTCCGCCTGCCTCCCTCCCGCCCTGCCAGCTCGCTCCTCGGGGCGCGGGGAGGCTTTAGACGGCGAGGCGAGCCGCCCCCGGGCCCGCCGCGGCTTCTCCGAGGAGCAGCGGCTGCGAGGCGGACCGGACCTCGACGGGGCGGCCCGGGCTCATGGCAGCGTCCGGCGGTGGAGGCGTCCTTCTCGGGCTTCCCCCGGCGGGCGTCGGAGGCTCTCTCGGGCTTCTCCTTCTCTCGGCAGGCAGGTTGGTGGCGCCTCGCCCGGACGGGGAGGGAGGGAGGGAGCGAGGGACCGGTTCCTCGGGCAGGCGGGCGGCTTCTGGCTGGAGGGGGCGACGGGGAGGGGAGGAGGGACCGGCAGCCGCGAGGGTTGGCTTTGGATTCCCGAAAGTCGGACCTGGTCGGGGCTATCCGGGGAGGAGGGAGCGGGATTGAGGAACACACGAAGCTGGCTTTCTGCCGGATCGGAGCCTGGGCCCATCAGAGTCCGTCTTGACTGCGCAGACTGGCCGCCGCTCTCCAGGGTCTCAGGCAGAGAAGGGTCTTTCGCGTCGCCAACCGCCTGGTCCTTTTGTAACGGGGGATGCCCGGGATTGGACCTGGGACTTTCTGCATGCGACAGAAGAAGCTGCCTTCTGCTGAATCAGAGCCTGAGTCCGTCAAGGTCAGTACTGTCTACTCAGACTGGCAGCCGCTCTCCAGGGTCTCAGGCGGAAGTCTTTCCCATCACCTACTGCCTGGTCCTTTTTAACTGGAGATGTCGGGGATGGAATCTGGGAACTTCTGCATGCCAAGCAGCGGCTCTTCCACTGAGCCACTGAGGTCTTTCACATCACCTTCTGGTCCTTTTGACTGGAGATGCCGGGGATTGAACCTAGGACCTTCTGCGTGCCAAACAGAGGCTCTTCCACTGAGCCACAGCCCCTCTTTACAGCTCTCCAGGGTCTCAGGCCGAGGTCTTTCCCATCACCTCCTGGCTGGTCCTTTTAACGGGAGATGCCGGGGATTGGACCTGGGACCTTCTGCATGCCGAGCAGAGGCTCTGCCACTGAGCCACAGCCCCTCTTCATAGCTCCCTAGGGTCTCAGGCGGAGGTCTTTCCCATCACCTCCTGCCTGGTCCTTTTAAATGGAGATGCCGGGGATGGAACCAGGGACCTCCTGCATGCCAAGCAGATGCTCTACCACTGAGCCACAGCCCCTCTTCATGGCTCTCCAGGGTCTCAGGCAGAGGTCTTTCCCATCACCTCCTGCCTGGTCCTTTTAACTGCAGACCTGGGACCTTCTGCATGCCAAACAGAGGCTCTGCCACTGAGCCACAGCCCCTCTTTACAGCTCTCCAGGGCCTCAGGCAGAGGTATTTCACATCACCTACTACCTGCTCCATTGAAATGGAGATGCCAGGGATTGAACCCAGGATGTTCTGCATGCTACACACAAAGCTGAAGCTGCCTGCTACTGATTCTCGGTCCATCAAGGTCAGTATTGCCTACTCAGACTGGCAGCGGCTCTCCAGGGTCTCAGGCAGAGGTCTTTCCCATCCCCTCCTGCCTGGTCATTTTAACTGGGGGTGCCGGGGATTGAACCTGGGACCTTCTGCATGCCAAGCGGAGGATCTACCTACCAAACCACAGCCCCTCCCCGGAGCTCCGTTGGGGAATGACTTCTGAGTCAACAGATTAAAAACATGATTAAAAAACCTGCTTGTTACGGCTCAACATCTGTGACTTTCACCATGCTTTCCAGTCGCTCTCTTGCCTATTGTGTTTTTAGCATCTTTTATTGCCACTGTGGTTTTTAATTAATCTTCCGCAGGCTGCTGGGTACCTCGCCGAGGCTTTGCCGATTTACGCGTCGGGTTTCTGTGGCTGATTATTGCCAACACCATTAATTGTTGCTAATACGATTGTTAGCCGTTGTGTTCTTAGCTGGCATCGTCGTCGTTCCCTGTAGTTTGTTTTCGTAGTTATTATAAGAATAGAATTTGCCAGGTGCTTTGAGAGGGCCAGATTGGATGTGCTTTGAATCCATAAACCAGCCAGTTTGGTGTAGTGGTTAAGAGCACTGGACTCTAATCTGGAAAACCAGGTTCAATTCAATTCCCCACTCCTCCACATGCAGCCAGCTGGCTGACCTTGGGTCAGCCACAGTTCTCTGA